TGGACTTATGTCACAAATGAAAATACCGGTCATAATATAAAAATCATAAGAAATGTATGCAAAATGAGCCACGCAATTACTGAAGCACATGCCCCTTAAGTCATAGATATTATTTAATCAACGGTACCAGCCTAAAAGTGCTATCCAAATAAACTTCATCAGGTACGCTCATGCATGACCAAAAGTATGGGAACAGAAAATATAAAATGCTTGTAAACAATTAAACCTTGTCTCCCTAAATTCAACTTCTATGCAGAATTTGTTCATTCATTTCAAACTACATATGAACAGTTTAAAAAGCATTTCCATACGGTATTAGCAGTTTAACTAGTTTACACCTTGAATCAGTAGCGAATCAATGCTTCTGACGTAATTCCTAAACTAACTGTCAAGTGTTTAATGCAACCCATCTGCATCATGCGCAGAATTCATATTATTATAAATTCTTTCCTCAACAACTCCCCCCCCAAAAAAACCCCATTTCAATAAAAAAGCAAAAAAATAGGTGAAAGGCGAAAGCTACCAAAGAGCTTTTTCAAACTTATAAGTCTAAACCAAACTGACAATGTCATGGCAAAAAAACGAAGAAGCTGCATTATTCAACAGAGTGTTTCCCAGTTTGAATGACATCTCAATGATTTAGTAACTTTTTTCTATGAATACCCCAGAACTTGCATTGATACACTAAGTATAGCAATGTTGATATCAGTTTTCAAAATTTCATAAATTAAAAGGATACACAGTTTACACAGCTACAGCTGCACAACTAAAAGCTTTATCTTAGTAACGAACAGTGTGGTATCTGTTATGGTCATGATCTCGATTTTTGAACCCTTGTAGCAATCAAAAACCAAAAGTCAAAGAGAAACAGACATCTAACCCTAAAACTTGACAGAATGGGAAGGTTTTGAAATGTAACGTTTTTTCAAGGCAAAGCCAAAAGATAGATAGGACTGATACTAGTTACTAACTAGAAACCACACAGACATTGAAAGTAAAATAGAACAATATAAAACACTGAAAACTAACACAAAAACAAGTACCATAGTTTAACACACCTAGTGGTGCACACAGGTGCTCTAGTAGGGTAAGCAGCATCTGCTCAACTAGCGACATCTGGCTTAGGGTGAACTCAGGTATTCTAGCAGGGTAAGCAGCATCTGTTCCACTAGTGGCATCTGGCTCAGGGTGAACTCAGGTGCTCTTGCAAGGTTAGCAGCATCTGCTCCACTAGTGACATGTGGCTCAGGGTGAACTCATGTGCTCTAGCAGGGTAAGCAGCATCTGCCCCACTAGTAACATCTGGCCCAGGGTGAACTCAGGTGCTCTAGTAAGGTAAGCAGCATCAGCTCCACTAGTGTCACCTGGCTCAGGGTGAAATCAGGTGCTCTTGCAGGGTAAGCAGTATCTGCTCCACTAGTGGCATCTGGCTCAGGGTGAACTCAGGTGCTCTTGCAGGGTAAGCAGTATCTGCTCCACTAGTGGCACCTGACTCAGGGTGAACTCAGGTGCTCTAGTAGGGTAAGCAGCATCTGCTCCACTAGTGGCATCTGGCCCAGGGTAAACTCAGGTATTCTAGCAGGGTAAGCAGCATCTGTTCCACTAGTGGCATCTGGCTCAGGGTGAACTCAGGTGCTCTTGCAGGGTAAGCAGTATCTGCTCCACTAGTTGCACCTGGCCCAGGGTGAACTCAGGTATTCTAGCAGGGTAAGCAGAATCTGCTCCACTAGTGACATCTGGCTCAGGATGAACTCAGATGCTTTAGCAGGGTAAGCAGCATCTGCTCCACTAGTGGCACCTGGCTCAGAGTGAACTCAGGTGCTCTAATAGGGTAAGCAGCATCTGCTCCAGTAGTGGCATCTGGCCCAGGGTGAACTCAAGTATTCTAGCAGGGTAAGCAGAATCTGCTCCACTAGTGACACCTGCCTCAGGGCGAACTCAGATGCTTTAGCAGGGTAAGCAGCATCTGCTCCACTAGTGACACCTGGCTCATGGTGAACTCAGGTGTTCTAGTAGGGTAAGCAGCATCTGTTCCACTAGTGGCATCTGGCTCAGAGTGAACTCAGGTGCTCTAGTAGGGTAAGCAGCATCTGCTCAACTAGCGACATCTGGCTTAGGGTGAACTCAGGTATTCTAGCAGGGTAAGCAGAATCTGCTCCACTAGTGACACCTACCTCAGGGCGAACTCAGATGCTTTAGCAGGGTAAGCAGCATCTGCTCCACTAGTGACACCTGGCTCATGGTGAACTCAGGTGTTCTAGTAGGGTAAGCAGCATCTGCTCCACTAGTGGCACCTGGCTCAGGGTGAACTCACGTGCTCTAGCAGGGTAAGCAGCATCTGCTCCACTAGTGACATCTGCCTCAGGGTGAACTCAGGTGTTCTAGCAGGGTAAGCAGTATCTGCTCCACTAGTGGCATCTGACTCAGGGTGAACTCATGAGTTCTAGTAGGGTAAGCAGTATCTGCTCCACTAGTGGCACCTGGCTCAGGGTAAACTCAATGTTCTAGCAGAGTAGGCTGCACTAATGGCACATGGCTCAGGACATTGTGTTCTTGTGTTTATTTTACCTTGGTATTGGAGATATAGTCATGTTTTATCCAATACCATACTAATATATGAAAACTATTCTCAGTACAACAAAAGATTCTGTCTTAGAATATAAAGTAAAAAGAACTATCTTATAGCCACAACCATAAAGATGATGATATACGTTTATCATTAATTTATCAATTTGAATATGTATTTAAAAAAAAAAAAACAAGCATTCTCAGGGTTTTGTATATGCTATGTCCCCTACCATATGCTATGTTTATATTAGATGCATTTATATTTATATGGGACAAGCTAAAGCAATAAGTTGTTACTGATGGAAACTTGCTGGACTTAAACTCAACTCAAACGGATCTGTAACTTCTAATGCCAAATTAGAGTTTTGACCCCAATTTCACGGTCCACTGAACATAGAAAATGATAGTGCAATTAGGGCATCCGTGTACTATGGACACATTCTTGTTTTCAACAAAGTTGTGGTCTGTGGAAAAGGAAAACTGCTTGAAAATTTCAGTTTTCTATACTTACTCCTGTTATGCCTGTAGTAAGTTAATAGGTACTTGGTATACAGTTATAGCATAAAACAAGAATGTGTCCATAGTACACGGATGCTCTACTCGCACTATCATTTTCTATGTTCAGTGGACCGTGAAATTGGGGTCAAAATTCTAATTTGGCATTAAAATAAGAATTAATAGGGAACATGTGTACAAGTTTCAAGTTGATTGGACTTCAACTTCATCAAAAACTACCTTGACCATAAACTTTAACCTGAAGAGGGACAGACGAACAGACAGACGGACAGACGAACGGACGGACGAACAGACCAGAAAACAAAATGCCCCTACTACTATCGTAGGTGGGGCATAAAAATCACACCATCAGAACTATATTCAAACTAGATCTATAAGTAATTTAGTAACACAACACAATGTAAAGTACCAAAATAGTGCCAAAAGCTAGGATCTTGACAATACATGTTGAAAAAAAATTGCGTATGTATTTGTGGCTTCAAACATTTACAAGAACAGAAAATTGAATTATTATTATAAATAAGAAGATGTGGTATGAGTGCCAATGAGACAACTATCAATCCAAGTCACAATGTGTAAAATGTAAACCATTATTGGTCAAAGTACGGCCTTCAACATGGAGCCTTGGCTCACACCAAACAGCAAGCTGTAAAGGGCACCAAAAAGACTAGTGTAAAACAATTCAAACAGGAAAACCAAAGGACTAATCTATATAAAAAAATGAGAAACGAGAAACACTTATGAACCACACAAACAAACGACAACCACTGAACAACAGGCTCCTGACTTAGGACAGGTGCATAAAAATGCAGCAGGTTTAAACGTTTTAACAGGTGCCAACCTTCACCCTAACATGAAACAGTGGTATAACATTACAACTTAAAAAGACACACAATAAAATATCAATTGAAATGGCTTAACTCGATCAAAAGGACAATACACATAGACATGTATATAAACACTGAACGAATAAGTTTGATCTATGACACAATATAAATAACAAAGATGTTTCAATGTCAAAAAGACAACTTTAACCTAGGACAAAACGGTGTTGAACAAAGTTACGTACACAGGTAAATTTAAATATAATAATTTTGTTGTTCATAGTACGAGTACAGAAGTGAATATTTATTATTAGTTTTCACAGTCAGTTTAGCTCAATTTTGTAAACATAAGATAACTGTTTTCATTCCTTGTTAACTATTTCCTATCTAACTTTTGTAATCCTGAAATACATTTTAGTATGCTATAAATGAAAAAAAATTGGATGCACATATGGTCAAGAAATAGAAATGAATTTAAAAAGATTTTCTCAATTACATCATTATATGCACCTTTCTCATGAAAATAAAGAAAACTGCAGAATTTTTGCAATTTTTCCATCATATTTTCTTTCTGGAAACATCGATATCACGCACAGCAAAGAAACATCAATTTTTTTTTAGAGAATCTGTATAAAATCTTTATACATAATCTGACAAATAATAGTTGTTTCTTGGGTGTGCACTTACTTTCCCAATGCAAAATATACCTAAAAATTGATGTAAAACAAGTATAATCAAGTTTGTTGCCATGGTAACTCTTTAAAGGTAAAATTTGTTGTATTTTCTATTTTGATATCTTTTACATTAGTGTAGTTAGAACATATTTAGAAATATGCATGGTAACTTTTAAAATTGCACTCATATTTGGGCCAGATAAGGGCCTTATTGCCCCTTCTCCTTGAGAATTTGAGCAAACTGTCAGATTTGAATGTGAATGTTGCTTTATAATGAGATTTGACAGCTTCATGAAATGTGGGTTATTAATTTTGTATTGATATACAACTGAAAATTCCATCTGTAGAAACTAACAAGTACAGATAATCATCAGAACGTTTTGCTAACAAATATTTTTATATAAAAATTTTATCTTACCTGCCTTTATCCCTGTTTCTTCTAAAATTTCTCTTTCTGCAGTGTCAGCTACAAAATACAAAATTTCATAAAAGTAGAACTAAAGGTAAAGATCTTGACATTTGTAGTACACATGTATATGTTGCAATGTTATTTGGGAGTAACTCATATGTACTGTGGGCTATACTCCTCCATGTTGCTGATTCTAATTGCAGATAAAGATAACCGGAAACTAGAAATATTAGGAAGGAACTGAAAATGTGTCTCACAGTTTGGCATAAACAGATGAAGCTATATGCCATACTCTTGTAAAATGTAATGTAACTTTCATGACAATTTTCAGAGATAACTATATGGCAAAAAGGAGGTAGATCATTGAAGGAAATGAAAATGCATCACATGAGAAGGAATTAACAGATGAAATTTGGTGCTATATGAAACAAACTATTATGTTTCATGGATGGATACCCCATATCCTTTGTTTTTCTATTATGTCTTGTTAATGCTGAGAAAAATGCCACATAAATGACTTACAGAGAGATAGACAGCAGTAATTCAATATAACCTCTCCTTTAAAGCTAAGATATAATAAAAAATATACCTATCAGTAGAACCTATATCATATTCTTGTAAGTGCAGCTTTTTTTTTTAAAGACAAAATTCATACATCCTCAATATGATTTCAATTTGACAAAAAATCAAATGGTCTGTAACAGTCACCACCATGTCATGTCAAAATTTCAATTCATTGATTTCTTATTGTATAATATCATGCTCAAAACAAAGAATACTATAAAAAGGAATAAACAAATTAGTTTACACACAATAATGGTGGGTCATATAAGGTCTTACCTATATCCTCTTCTAAATCAGACAACCCTCCAGGAAACTTCCAGTACGAAAACTAAAAATAAATACAATTTTACACTATATAGTTCAATATGTACAGACAAATTCTGTATGCAAAATAGGGATGGTGTAAGAATATATAACTAAACTGCGTTTAATGATTTTCAAATGTCCTTTTCATCATAAATCAAAAATGAAGTACCATGTTATGGAACCATTTAAAGTTAAATATCTATGTATGGTAAAATACTATTTTATGCTATAAAATTAATTAGAGTTATTTCTCTTGACATACATGTATATGTTTATACAATGTCATTTAGACTACAAAATGTGTTATTAAAAGGTGTGTCTAATTTGTTCTTCTTTCTTGACTTTAAATTAAAAGAGTTGTTACATATATAATTACCTGACTATTTTTGTCTTTTACAACTAAAATTTCTTTTGTTTCTTCTCTATAAACCATCCCTAGGATTAATTATTGGATAAATTATTGGATAAATTATGTGAAAAACACAAAGCAAGTAATCTAGCTTCTAATGACATTTATACTTCAACATATTGTGACTCCATATATAATGATGAATCTCATACATTCATATCATGATAAAGAAGTTTAGAGATAGTAAGTTTCTCCATGCAAGATATCATTTTACACACACCAGTCATGAGCTTTCTTTATTAAGTTAGGCATGGTTCCAATCAACAACATGTTGGCTGCATTAAGTGATCACCTTTTGAGTTGTGTCATCTGACTATAGGTTTACAGCAGGTTCAGGGGGTCAGAATAGAAAAGTGGTTGAATATTTTTTAAGTGAAATCTGTAAAAATATTCCATTTTCTAAATTCTTTTGTAAGAAAAACTAAGCAGATGCCTAGATGTCACATGATATAACTTGTAATGTGATATGTCATTTGATATAAGTTGTCATGTGATATAACATGTGATGTGATATAACTTGTGATGTGATATAGCTTGTCATGTGGTATAACTTGTCATGTGATATAAGTTGTCATGTGATATAACTTGTTCAATTTCCACATTGTCATCTAAAAATGTATCTCAAACTCCTTTATTTGCTAAAATCTGAAAATTTACTCAGACAGAAGAAGCATTTTATTGCCACCTAAAATAAAACACCATTTAAGTTAAGTTTGATATATTCTGTACACAAGTTATGACTGTATTGTTCTTTACATTACACATGTTACAGAAGATACAACTAACCTGAGACTCCTATTTGATGAGTGGCAAATCTTGGTGTTCTATCTTCACTACTGGTATTCAGCCATAACTTTAACAGTGACATCTGGTGTTCAGCATGATGGAATAGAAAACCAGAATTAGCAGCAGTGGATATTAATGCACTTTTATGAATTGGTACTTTTAACCATATACATGATCTTCCTTCTCTTCTCCACTTTAATAAAGATTCTGGAATGATAAAATCACTTAATCAACTTCCTCTATGGAAAGTATCACTCCTTAATTACAATTTGAAAAGACTAAATAAGAATGAACAGTTGCTTAGCAATGTTCAAAAAGGGTAAAACCATTTCAATTTAAAAAACAACGTATAAACCGTGAAGGGGTGATATGACCTCCAAATAGAATGAGACCAGGACTTTTTTAAAAATGTTCCTATGGGAAATATATAACAAAATCTAAATTTACAGATAAAACAACTATGTTATTGTTCAAAAGATGAAAGAAAGAAATACACTATTCTCAGATATAAAGTCACTAGATATAAGAAGATGTGGTATGAGTGCCAATGAGACAACTCTCCATCCAAGTCAAAATTTATAAAAGTAAACCATTATAGGTCAAAGTACGGTCTTCAACACGGAGCCTTGGCTCACACCGAACAGCAAGCTATGAAGGGCCTCAAAAATTACTAGTGTAAAACCATTCAAACGGGAAAACCAACGGTCTAATCTATATAAAAAACGAGAAACACTTATATATGAACCACATCAACAAACAACAACTACTGAACATCAGATTCCTGCACAGTATAAATTGGAAAAACCTTTGGTCAGAGTAGAGGTTCACATTTTCTTATGTTCATCTTATGTGTGTTCCATAGTCTTGTTTCATTTGAATATTATCTGACATTTTGGAATAGATTTTTAATTCAATGCTATTTCACTCAAGGTAACAGCCTTCAGGAAGACATTTTATTCAGAAGTCTAACTGTAAAACTTATTCACAACTTGAAAAACTAAGCACTCATGCTCACACTGAAAACTTGAAACATTGAATAGAAATTTAGCTATTTTTAAAACAGCATGTTGACCTCTAGATGTCTTTGAAGTTTTTGTGTTGTTGCTTTGCTGTGTCATTGATGTATAGCAAATATCGCCATCCATTTCATATTTCACCCAACTGGGAATTATTATTCTGATCCCTAACTGACCAGTCTACATTCTTACTGAAAACCACTGGTTGTTCACCAAAATTAAAAGCAATCATTAAAATTAAAAGTCTTTGATCTTACTCGTAGGAAATCTAAACCATACCCTAGGGTCATATCAATTTTGAGCATGAATATCGTACTTAAAGTCAGAAATCAACCAATCAATATACTGGAGTTGGTATTTCGAGCACAAATTTTGTACTCCCGAGTACTGAGTAAAGTTTTATCGTCCTCACTTTAGACAGGTAAACTACTACAAGATAACCTCGTTTGTTCAGTACTGAGTAAAGTTTTATCTTCCTCACTTTAGACAGGTAAACTACTACATGATTACCTCGTTTGTTCAGTACTGAGTAAAGTTTTATCTTCCTCACTTTAGGCAGGTAAACTACTACAAGATTACCTCGTTTGTTCAGTACTGAGTAAAGTTTTATCTTCCTCACTTTAGACAGGTAAACTACTACAAGATTACCTCGTTTGTTCAGTACTGAGTAAAGTTTTATCTTCCTCACTTTAGACAGGTAAACTACTACAAGATTACCTCGTTTGTTCAGTACTGAGTAAAGTTTTATCTTCCTCACTCTAGACAGGTAAACTACTACAAGATAACCTCGTTTGTTCAGTACTGAGTACAGTTTTATCGTCCTCACTTTACACAGGTAAACTACTACAAGATTACCTCGTTTGTTCAGTACTGAGTAAAGTTTTATCTTCCTCACTTGAGGCAGGTAAACTACTACAAGATTACCTCGTTTGTTCAGTACTGAGTAAAGTTTTATCTTCCTCACTTTAGACAGGTAAACTACTACAAGATAACCTCGTTTGTTCAGTACTGAGTAAAGTTTTATCTTCCTCACTTTACACAGGTAAACTACTACAAGATTACCTCGTTTGTTCAGTACTGAGTAAAGTTTTATCTTCCTCACTTTAGACAGGTAAACTACTACAAGATTACCTCGTTTGTTCAGTACTGAGTAAAGTTTTATCTTCCTCACTTTAGACAGGTAAACTACTACAAGACTACCTCGTTTGTTCAGTACTGAGTAAAGTTTTATCTTCCTCACTTTAGACAGGTACACTACTACAAGATTACCTCGTTTGTTCAGTACTGGTTAAAGTTTTATCTTCCTCACTTTACACCGGTAAACTTCTACAAGATAACCTCGTTTGTTCAGTACTGAGTAAAGTTTTATCTTCCTCACTTTAGACAGGTAAACTACTACATGATTACCTCGTTTGTTCAGTACTGAGTAAAGTTTTATCTTCCTCACTTTAGGCAGGTAAACTACTACAAGATTACCTCGTTTGTTCAGTACTGAGTAAAGTTTTATCTTCCTCACTTTAGACAGGTAAACTACTACAAGATTACCTCGTTTGTTCAGTACTGAGTAAAGTTTTATCTTCCTCACTTTAGACAGGTAAACTACTACAAGATTACCTCGTTTGTTCAGTACTGAGTAAAGTTTTATCTTCCTCACTCTAGACAGGTAAACTACTACAAGATAACCTCGTTTGTTCAGTACTGAGTACAGTTTTATCGTCCTCACTTTACACAGGTAAACTACTACAAGATTACCTCGTTTGTTCAGTACTGAGTAAAGTTTTATCTTCCTCACTTGAGGCAGGTAAACTACTACAAGATTACCTCGTTTGTTCAGTACTGAGTAAAGTTTTATCTTCCTCACTTTAGACAGGTAAACTACTACAAGATAACCTCGTTTGTTCAGTACTGAGTAAAGTTTTATCTTCCTCACTTTACACAGGTAAACTACTACAAGATTACCTCGTTTGTTCAGTACTGAGTAAAGTTTTATCTTCCTCACTTTAGACAGGTAAACTACTACAAGATTACCTCGTTTGTTCAGTACTGAGTAAAGTTTTATCTTCCTCACTTTAGACAGGTAAACTACTACAAGACTACCTCGTTTGTTCAGTACTGAGTAAAGTTTTATCTTCCTCACTTTAGACAGGTACACTACTACAAGATTACCTCGTTTGTTCAGTACTGGTTAAAGTTTTATCTTCCTCACTTTACACCGGTAAACTTCTACAAGATAACCTCGTTTGTTCAGTACTGAGTAAAGTTTTATCTTCCTCACTTTAGACAGGTAAACTACTACAAGATAACCTCGTTTGTTCAGTACTGAGTAAAGTTTTATCTTCCTCACTTTAGACAGGTACACTACTACAAGATAACCTCGTTTGTTCAGTACTGAGTAAAGTTTTATCTTCCTCACTTTAGACAGGTACACTACTACAAGATTACCTCGTTTGTTCAGTACTGGTTAAAGTTTTATCTTCCTCACTTTAGACAGGTAAACTACTACAAGATTACCTCGTTTGTTCAGTACTGAGTAAAGTTTTATCTTCCTCACTCTAGACAGGTAAACTACTACAAGATTACCTCGTTTGTTCAGTACTGAGTAAAGTTTTATCTTCCTCACTTTAGGCAGGTAAACTACTACAAGATTACCTCGTTTGTTCAGTACTGAGTAAAGTTTTATCTTCCTCACTTTAGACAGGTACACTACTACAAGATAACCTCGTTTGTTCAGTACTGAGTAAAGTTTTATCTTCCTCACTTTACACAGGTAAACTACTACAAGATTACCTCGTTTGTTCAGTACTGAGTAAAGTTTTATCTTCCTCACTCTAGACAGGTAAACTACTACAAGATTACCTCGTTTGTTCAGTACTGAGTAAAGTTTTATCTTCCTCACTTTAGGTAGGTAAACTACTACAAGATTACCTCGTTTGTTCAGTACTGAGTAAAGTTTTATCTTCCTCACTCTAGACAGGTAAACTACTACAAGATTACCTCGTTTGTTCAGTACTGAGTAAAGTTTTATCTTCCTCACTTGAGGCAGGTAAACTACTACAAGATTACCTCGTTTGTTCAGTACTGAGTAAAGTTTTATCTTCCTCACTTGAGGCAGGTAAACTACTACAAGATTACCTCGTTTGTTCAGTACTGAGTAAAGTTTTATCTTCCTCACTTTAGACAGGTAAACTACTACAAGATAACCTCGTTTGTTCAGTACTGAGTAAAGTTTTATCTTCCTCACTTTACACAGGTAAACTTCTACAAGATTACCTCGTTTGTTCAGTACTGGGTAAAGTTTTATCTCCCTCACTTTAGACAGGTAAACTACTACAAGATAACCTCGTTTGTTCAGTACTGAGTAAAGTTTTATCTTCCTCACTTTAGACAGGTAAACTACTACAAGATTACCTCGTTTGTTCAGTACTGAGTAAAGTTTTATCTTCCTCACTTGAGGCAGGTAAACTACTACAAGATTACCTCGTTTGTTCAGTACTGAGTAAAGTTTTATCTTCCTCACTTTAGACAGGTAAACTACTACAAGATTACCTCGTTTGTTCAGTACTGAGTAAAGTTTTATCTTCCTCACTTTAGACAGGTAAACTACTACAAGATTACCTCGTTTGTTCAGTACTGAGTAAAGTTTTATCTTCCTCACTTTAGGCAGGCAAACTACAACAAGATTACCTCATTTGTTCAGTACTGAGTAAAGTTTTATCTTCCTCACTTTACACAGGTAAACTACTACAAGATTACCTCGTTTGTTCAGTACTGAGTAAAGTTTTATCTTCCTCACTTTACACAGGTAAACTACTACAAGATTACCTCGTTTGTTCAGTACTGAGTAAAGTTTTATCTTCTACATTGAGGCAGGTAAACTACTACAAGATAACCTCGTTTGTTCAGTACTGAGTAAAGTTTCATCTTCCTCACTTTAGACAGGTAAACTACTACAAGATTACCTCGTTTGTTCAGTACTGAGTAAAGTTTTATCTTCCTCACTTTAGACAGGTAAACTACTACAAGATTACCTCGTTTGTTCAGTACTGAGTAAAGTTTTATCTTCCTCAATTTAGACAGGTAAACTATGACAAGATTACCTCGTTTGTTCAGTACTGGGTAAAGTTTTACCTTCCTCACTTTAGACAGGTAAACTACTACAAGATTACCTCGTTTGTTCAGTACTGAGTAAAG